GTAGAACATCAAGGAAATCTCAATTTATTTTTCAGATTTGAGTGGCCATACTAGTAAGACCATTATATTGTTGGGAAAAGAAAACGCTGTATCCAACATGTTGCTAAACAATGTGATGTCTACTTCCATAGACACCATTGAAAAAGATTCGTAAGTAATTATTAATATTCTAAATTTATATTTATTCACGGTTTTCATATTTATTAATAAATTTAATTTAATTATTTAAAATGAAAAGAAAACATTCCTGTTACAATAAGATACGTAAACTACAAATTGGAAAAATGTGTTTTATGACTTGCAATTTCATGTATACGTTACATTTGAAGTGTTACGTCGGGATGTTACGTCCTGGTAGAGAACGCAACACGACGTAAGGTCTCGATCGTACTAGCAGGTCGAGTTACGAGTCAGCGACCAGAAGGATCGCTTTACGCGTGTACCGACGTACGACGAGTGGTCCTTTTTCGATCAGAGAACTGAATCTCTTTATCGCGGACGGACCGAGAGCGGATAAGAGAAATGAAGGGGGAAAAGGGAAGGATTCGAAAAGAAATTGTGATATAATTTGAATTGGAATTTAGATAATTCTTAACGATTACATTTATTTTCCTCGCGGGGTTGTTACAATTTTTATTAACTACTAGCACGGAGACAAAGTAAGTGTGTGTGTGTGTGTGTGTTTGTGTGTGTGTTTTTGTGAGTGTGTTGCGTGTGTGGACTTCTGGGTGAGGCTGAGCGTTAATGTTCAGGATCATTGGGAGGTGAAGAGGATGAAAAGTAGGTCGTGGGGGAAAATGGAGGAATAGGTGGAGGTACTGGACGAGGAGGCAGATTTTGAGAAGAAAAAAAGGAAAACCGCCAAGTGGGGTGGGAAGGGTGGAAGGTTTTTGCTGATCCAGGGGTCTAGGTAGCTACCTGTGCGTAATCCGGGACACTAAATACTGTACGCGAGCTACCCGGAGTTAAAATTTTGATATTGAAAGGAAGAAAACGAGTAACAAAACGATAACTTACTGTTGATGTGCGATTTGGAGGAGAGAGTAACTGTTGCTGGATTTCTCAGTTGGGCCCCCTTCGATCCTCGTCTGAATTGAACCTGGTATTTGCGTGTGAGGGTTGCGGACGATCGCACGATTAATACAGCAATAAGCACAGAGAGTTGAGTAGCTGAACTCTTAGGGTACTTGGATTTTTCCTTAATGGCGTATAAGTGACCCGCGGTGCGCGGAGTCGCGGTTATATACGATATCAACTGGAAATGGTTTGGAAGGGAAGATGTGGAAATTTGGGGGGGTCCTAGGTTGTTGGATTCGTCAGAGAAAATGGTATGGGGGACTGTTGTATCCAGTAGTAAGTAAGTAGACAGTGTTAAGGAAATCTTCTTGGCTGGGGTTGTGGATGGAGAAAATCATACATTTCAAAAGAGAAGGTTATTGGAGGATTTTTAAAGTGGTGAGGGAATCAGCAGATGAGGCGGAACCGGATAACGTAAGTTAGAAAATGTAACAGACATAATTTTTTGTTATCCAGCGGTTCCTTTGATCCCAAGGATAAGGTCCGGCGAAGTTTACTTTGCGGATTAAGGAGTTTTAGTGCTGTATTTCCCAGGATTATTTCGGAATTTTAGTCGGAATTTTTATTGGGGAAAGACGAAAAACGGTCTTACAATTCGGAATTGTTTGTTGTTTCCCGACAGAGGAGGCAAAGATAGAGTGCATGACTCATGTCTGCACAGGATGTAACAGAAGCATAAAGTTTTTTCTTAATTCTGTGAAGGAAAAAAGCAACATGTATTTTCAACAAGCTTAATTCTACACTTGCATCCGTATCCTTGCCGAACAAAACAGTATCAGCTAAAGATTCCAGTAATACGAAGAGGAAATATTTCAAGAACGTTTCTTTCAATTATAATTCTGCAGAAGAATTGCGTACACCCTCTCCTCGGATAAATGAAGACAGCTCTTTGAATTATTTGAAAAAAATCCTCGAAAGAATAAAGTAACTAACATTCACATATTTTTCTTTTACTATGAACAATATATATCTCGGATAATAAATTAGTCGTTTTCCAATATAATGAGGTAATGTATTCACTTTCTATATTTTAGACTACAATTTTGGTTTTTCACTTATTTATACAATTATTTATATGTATTTAGTTTTTTATTAGCTAATATAATACATATATTATATGTTTGCAGGATAATAGAAGATCAAAACAAGGAGATACCTCTACAAAATAAAGAATTGAAGGAGCAAAATAAAAAAATAATTGACCTCTCGCGTTTTAATATATGCGAAGAACCACTGAATAAAAGTTTATTTGAACCACTGCAGGGTTTTCCCTTGCACACCATCGATCAGTTTAAGGACATGAAAACCGATTCGAAAAAAGCAGAGCGACAGAAATTGGTGAATGCACTTCTGTATGTTTCTATGAAATATGTGCGCACTTTTTCTATGAAATAGCTGCACTTTTTAATTACATTGCATTGCATTGCATTACATTTACATTACATTGCATTTTTACAGTACATTTTAGTAATAATAATCTTTATTGGTTCCCCTTAGGGTTACAATTTTTTACAATCTGAACTCTTACCACCTCATTTACATTAACCTTATACTGATCTTACATACTAATTCGCCGCCTTTAGCCTATACCCTATCCTGCTCCTGCAGATCCCCAACCCTACACACACACACACACACACACACACACCCGCAGTCCTAACCTATTTACCCTACCAGGACCCCCGTTTCCGATTCCTGTCATGAGTCCTTATCTCCATTCCTCTCTTCCACTTTCTCACTCATACCCTCACTCCCCCCACTTCTCCCCCTCCCCCTCCCTCCCCCTCCCTTATCAACTCCTCCAATTTCCTCAGCCAAACCTCCCCTTCTCCATCCTCTCCCAATACCACTCCCCTCATTTCTTGCCATCCCTTCACCTCCTCCCATCCTACACATTCCTCCCACACATGTTGACATATTTCTTTCCCACACCCACACAATCTGCACTACATCCACTCTTCTCCTTCCCAATATCTACCACCCCTCATTCCATTTCCCAGCCTATACCTTGCCACCCTCTGCCACCTGCTCTCCCCCATCCCTTTTTCAAATACCCTGACACTCCCTCCCCCTTAATCCATTTATAATCCTCATTAAATCTTGATTCCAATATTTTTTCCTTTCTTTCTTCTCTCTGCATCTCCCTCACTTTCGATATCATCTCTTCCATTCCCCTCTCTTCTTTTCCCCCACTCCTTTTCCTTCATCCCTCTCTCTTCTCTGAATCTTTTCCTTTCCTCCTCCCAATCCGAGCCCTTACTCTTCCCTTACTCTTTACTTCTTAATTTAATTTCCCGCCAACACCTTCTGGCCAACTCGCTCCCTCTTCCCTCCTCCAGCCTTAATTCAAATCCTAATGCTCTTTTCCCCACCCTTTCCCTTAACTTTTCTCTCTGTACCTCTTCTCTGACCATATAGCCCGGTATACTCCATTCTACCCCCAACATCCACTTCAAATATCTTTCCTGCAATCTCTCTAGTGCTTCCCTCTACTTCCATCCCCATATCTCCACCCCATACCCAATCACTGGCCATACCAGCGCGTCAAACAACCAGCACCTTCTACCCCAATCTCTCTTAAACCTCCATTTCCCCATCCCCCATACTTTCCCCATCACTGCAGCCCCTCTCCTCATCCTTTTTCTTACATGCGCCTTCTGTCCCCCATTGCTTTGTACTACGTACCCCAAATATGAAAATTCTTTTACTTCCTCTATCACCTTCCCTTTCCATCTCCAATTCATTTTCCTTTTCCTTCCCCCTCCCTTCCTAAACCTCATTATTCTTGTTTTGTTCACATTTAGTTCTAGCCCTTTCCCATCTAAATACCTTTCTAATCTGGCCAACATGCATCTCATTCCATCCTCCTCCTCCGTCAACAGCACCATGTCGTCCGCATATGCCAGCGAAAAAATTTTTCCCTCTCCCAGTCTTA